AAAAATTATTAGGATTATCTTAAAATCTATTTTCATATCTAATTAGAAATTTTTAAACTTCAAAAATAGTGAAAATCAAATAGATCGATAACCATATGAAAATCCTAAAAATGGACAGTCTAGATAACGTGTTGCAAGATGCACTCTATTTGGGACTCAATTTTTTTTTTTTTTTTTCATATTCATATGTCTTGAAGTCAAGATGATCAGTTAGAGGGCTTTTCAACATTAAAACAACTTTTTTTGATAAATTTTTAAGGTGCATATGTAATTCTACATTTTAAGGTCGCAACCTTATATAAATTTTTCTTTTTATAATCTATACTATCTATTTTGTTTGGATGGTGTAGAATTGACATTATTTTAAAAGAAGAGCTACTTTTTTTTCACCATCTTGTAGGACGTGTCAAATCTACACCATTTAACTAAAATGAACTTTGTACGAAATCACAACCTTATTTCTATAAGTAAGGCTACGCCCTTATATAAACCGTGCCTTTTAGATATATGCAATGAGAGATGTTGTGTTTCCCTCTGTGTTTTAAAACTTAGCAATTCAGATCTAGATCGCTGATGTGGATGAGAATCGATCGGGACAATACTGATCCTAGGATGGTGCAGGTTCCAGCCCTAGCCCCCTCTACAAACCCCTTTCATATATATATTTTTTCTTTTTTAAGCTTATCTATAGTTTTTTTTATGTCCCTCTAAATCCTCACCCTATAAACCTTTACATTAATTTTTGTTTTTATTTTATTTTATTTTTAATAATTTTTTAACCACTTATTCGATCTTTGGATCATTGATCCAATGAACTGACATGGATTTGTGGGAAAAGCCCCCCCAATCTGCATTTTAAAACACTCCTCTATACATACAAAAGAGTCATATTTTTTCTAATTTTAATTTTAGGCTTGTGGGAGTTTGATGGGGTTAGATCAGAGAGGTTTAAAAATTGGAAAAGTAATTGGGTGTCTCAAGGGACGCACTTCTACAATAGCGCCTATTGACATATTCAACATCCATCTTGTAGATGGATGTCACCCTATAGTTGGCTAGTTACCCCTCCCAAATTCAAAATTAAAGCGGTTAAAATTATATTAAAATATATTTTTTAATGTAAATTTAACTTCGTTTTTCTTTTCAGAGTCATACTCATCATAGTTAGATTTTCAATGTTTAAAATTTTAGATACAAAATCCATCTTTGCACTAGATTTTGGAAAGAGAACTCATTTAAATAAGTGAGGCCGGGGATTCAAAGAAAAAAAAAATAGTGGCGTTAACTTGTTAGTAGCACCTTTTTAGAGAGGTGTGGTTTTGCATAAGGTTGCAACCTTAAACAATCAAAATAAGATATACCTTTAAATTTTATGAGATTGGAAGTCACAATCATTTTTAACCATTGGATATGAAATCTAATATATTGCAGTGTGACACAATCAAGAAATTTTCTTTTGGACTATGTGCCCAATCCATGACACATCCTAAATCACTCGATTTCATATCCAAAGGTTATTAGTGATTGTGACATTTTTGTATAAAAAATAAATGGTCGTATTGTATACATTTCTAAATTTTATTATAAGATATAATTTTGAAGCCAAATTTTATTATAAGATTTAATTTTGATGTAAAAAATTCTTAAGATATCCTAAGAATAGCCTACTAGTTCATATGAACATATGAGCTCAACGGCCTAGATTGAATTTGGGCCGATCTGATGGTAAGGGCCTCATTTCGTATTTTAATTTTAATTTTTTTTTTACGAATCAAAATAACTTGAAATTTTAGGTTTGTGTCCTTCAAAAATAGGAGAATCTAATAAAAATATATATAAAAAATTGCAATAAATAAATTATCCAAAATACCCCTAAAAAGTTTTAGGGGTATTTGATCATTTATTTTTATGAATTATTTTTTAATA